TGCTATAGCTCTGCACAGCAAAAACGCATAAAAATGTGGACGACCGACAAAATCTAGAAAAACATAACTCAGAACTGAATGGTGCTACATGACTGCCATGGCGCGCATTTCAAGTAAAGCCGGCAATTAGAACAACTTTAGTGACAACAAAAAAAAAAAATTTGGAGATAAGCAAATGACCCGTTAGTGGAAAATCGAAAAAGCAGTGCCATGCATAGGCTACGTCACGCCTTTCGACGAGAACGTCGTCTGTTGAAAACAGACACAGATGCGTCCGAAATGTTCAGCGAAGGCCCATGCTGCAGTGGGTGTTTGTTGGGAGGTCCTGGATGATGCATCGTGTCTTAATACGGTATCCGGCAAAGCAGCTGGAACATATGCTATAAGTGGAGAAGGTTTTCAGCTTTGCTCAACCACCTGCGCCAAAGGAGGCCTAGTCAGCAGCGAACAGCTACACTAGCCATTTGATGAGAGAAAGTTAGCTGACAGACAAAGTGCCCAATGGTGGCCGTGCAAATTTAATTAAAAAAGCTGATGGGAGCATCGACATGTACGGCAATACGAATGCAACAGGATCCAAACGGGGATGAAAACGTCCTCATACTGCCAGTGGCAAACAGGAAGAAAGAGAACGCCATATTCAAAGTACTGAAATAACAACAAGCTCATGGATGCAAAATTCTACGACTGAAAAAACAAGCTTTAATAAAAAGACCAATAAAAGAATTTCTAGTTTATCATAAAAAAGTCTGAAAAAAAAAGCATATACTTAATAATCCGCTAAGGAGCACGATTGATAGCATTTCGACTTTCAGCAGTCATCATCTGCTATGATGTGTTCCAGAAACGTTGTTTTGTTTTTTCTTTCAAATCCCGAAAAATAGAGGAACGGCTAGAAACATTAAATGGCGCACTGCTACTGTTAAGTGATGCAAGAAATAATAATCCCAGGTATTTTCAACAGTAGAACAACAGCACCAGTCGCTTGTTGCGGTTAAGCAAAACCATTTTAAGCAGAAAAAGCCCCGTCTGAAGAACCCTAGCGAACAGAGCCGTTAACAGATTTTTTGTACTGGACGATGCCAGTGTATCCTTTTCTAACCTATGTAGATTTATGTTTTAAAACTTAGAATGGAACGCACCAGGCTTGCCGGTGCGATTATGCGTTTTTGCACTAAACTCGCAGATCGCAAATAGCAGAAATGATCCCTGCGCTGCAGCCTAACACCTGGGCTCAGATTGACCATGCTTTGGGTGCTTCCAGCATGCAGGAGGAAGGGCTTCGGTTGGGAGGGAAGTGTTGCATTGCAGGGCCGCATGGACCCCCAGGTATACGACTACCAGTTTTTCGCATAAAGCCTGGTCGTCTTCCCGGCAAATGCTCGCTTTTTGAAAAAATGCAAAGTGCAAATTTTTGAAAATGCAAAAATTTCATTTCTTCACTGGAAAGTTGAAATGTTGCTGGAACAGTCGTTCGTCAAAAATCCAAATATGTAAATGAACTAGATTTTCGGAGAGGATGAGGGCAATGATTCACTGCAAAACAAACTCGTTTCTGAATTTGCGATAAAGATAAGTATTGCTCATATTCACCTGCAGAAGTTTCAGCCTCGCACATTATCCGGTTAGAGAAATAACCACTTCGCTACAAATGTCTTTGAAGTGCTCCAAGTCGTAGCGCAAGTGCAAATCGGGACTTATCTTAGGAATACGATTTCCTATATGAGCGGTAAATATTCTGAAGAAATCTCAACCACTGTTTTTCGGCCAATTTTCCTGTTAGTACAGTTCCAGGTGCAAACCTTCACGTGACCGTACACGCTGCACAGAGTGCGTAATGATTGAATTTGAAGGCTTTAGCTCACACAAGCACATAGAATATTTCTGTGAAGTATCAGCTTTCTACCTTGCTTGGTCTCCAAAGTCGTTTCCTGCCAAGGAAATCTGCATATTTTTTTTTTTTTTTTTGTTGGCCCGTACGCAAGATCTAGATGCGTATGAGAAAAAATCTTAAAACGGAAAGGACACATGGGGTGAGAAAATGTCCTCGAAATTTCAGTCTCCTGGTTTTCCGGGATGATGAGTTAAAAGTAGGTGACAAACTTTAGTCAGTTTTGAACAAACACACAGGCGACCCCTCAACAATATGCATTTTCGTTCGCTGTAGCAGCGCTATAGCTCTGCACAGCAAAAAGGCACAGAAAAGGAAAAATTACGGCTGTCGGATCAAATTTCTGATTACACTCTTTCACTAGCTGTTGTTTCACTGTAACACATCCAATAGTCATTGACACATCGAATGGTACTACTGCTACTGACGTATTTGTTCGTGCTCTTGGAATTCGTTTTCGTGCTTCTTGGTTCCTCCCCAGAAAAACATCGCCTGTATTGTATTCATGTTGTCACGTGTGTGATCCTATCCAGTGTTCTTTCCAAACAATTTTTAAAGCAGAATTTCGATAAGGATCCTCAAAGCAGCAGACTTTTGGTTATAGGAATATTTGCTGTAGGAACTTGCCGGGGTCGCGTCACTTCAGTCGGATAAAATTTTTAATAATTAAAATACAGTTGATAGCCACAGTGAATATACAAGTGTGAACAAGCAGATAGTAAATTAGACTTTAAGTACAGTCAATGTTAGTGGCAATGTAATATATTCAAATTTTTACAATTGCAGTTAGATAGAGCTCAAGCACTGGCTTAAGATCACAGTGTGAAGGCCATCAACAGCCCGAAACTGACGGAATTAAACGCAAACAGAGATTTGAGGTGTACTCTTGGGACACAAACTCAATAGAACTATCACTGTCTAAAGTGGACGGAACAGAGCTTCACATACAACGCCTTAGGCACGTA